ACTTTATTGTCTTTCCTGCTCTCTAAATCTATTCTTCGCTCATCGTAGAACACACAAGTGTGTAGATTTGAACAGTTTAGCTTCTATATTTAATGCAAGACTCCCTCTATTAATATTTAGCGAGCATTAATTACTTTAAACATCTCCCCCATTTCTCTTTTTCATGTTGCTGAGAGTGTTTTTTTATTTCAAACACTGATCTTGCGTGACTTTCAGAAACATCCAAGGCACAGAAGGCATCACTTTAGAGAAAGACACACACACACACACACACACACGGGCCACGTTTTAAACAAACGACACTTTAAGGCTTCTTGTCCTCTGTCCATCAAACCTCACGTAGCTAAGATGTTAGTTAGCAGCTCCTGTAATGGATAAAGGATGCATTCTGGCCCCATGCAGCTAAATATATTCATGAGAATAAAAGAGTGTTTGCTTAATCCCGCTGAGCGTCTACACGTCCTTATATTTGGGTGTGTTTACCCCTCTCTGAGATGGGCTGGTAAATGGAGCAGACCATCCCCATTCCAGACAGATTCCAGCCTTGCCGCTCCTTAAAGTCATGTAATTTTCAGGAACAGGACAGCACAGACTTTTTATGTTTCCTCGTGCTTTGTGCTCACCGTGGCCACGCCGCCCTGACACCGACACAGGTTGTTACAGAGGAGGAGATGCATCCAGCCATCGTCCACCCGCCACAGCCTCAAAATGGAAGAAATGTGTTATTCCTGACTGGCTTTTTGCTAAATGTGTTTAAATAATAGAGTGGCTTGTAGCGCTCAGCTAAATAGCACGTCACCTCCAAGACCCGTCTCAGGAGGAGAGTCCTTCACACGCCCGAGTTCGTTCAACAGTTACCTAAATGTCTAAAGGTTAATGATGTCTGCATAACCACAGACCTGCTCACCCTGGGCCATGCTGTGTGTGTGTGTGTGTGTGTGTGTGTGTGTGTGTGTGTGTGTGTGTGTGTGTGTGTGTGTGTGTGTGTGTGTGTGTGTGTGTGTGTGTGTGTGTGTGTGTGTGTGTGTGTGTGCATGTATAATAGACTCATGTTCACCCTAAGGGCTTATACCTAAAAGACGTAGTAATACACGGGAAGAGCTAAATTCACAATTAGAGTTCCAGACTTCATCCAGTCGCCCAACTTTGCCAAGATAAACAAAAGATCTGTTTTTAATGAATCTTGGTGAGATTTCATCTCTTTTTCACCGTTTACCATCAGACCCCTGGACTAATGACCTTATTTGCATCCCTGACTCACCCCAGCATGACTGTCGGTGCTAATCTCCAACTGATGTGAGAGCAGGCATCTCAGCCGCATGAGTATTTATGACGGCGTTCACTCCTGAGTGACTCTAATGGCTGCTGGCCATTAAACAGTAAACGGCTCATTCAGGATTTTTAATTAAATGTCAGAAATCTGAGCGTATTTTTTCTTCCGAGCCGCACAAACAAGCTTACAGCTAAAAGCACGAGCCGAGAGGATTCGGCCCGTCAGATGGTTGTTTAATCTGAGACGAGTGAGCAGAAAGAAATACACAGGATGCAAAACTTTGGAGTGTGGAGTGAATGAATGTTTTCAGGTTTTCAGCCTCCCTCCGTAAATCTGACGGACAGAAACAGAAATATTCATCGCTCGGCTTAGATCAGCCTCCTCTTCTCATCCTACCACATCAGAATATTAATTTACATTATTTGGCTCTGAATATTAAAGTCATCTGTACCTTTTAAGAATTCTTTTCAAACTCAGAGCCCCCCCCCCCCCCCCCCCTCCCCATTTCCACTGATGAAGGCGGCCCAGGAGAGGCGCATCCTAACGCACCACCCCTTGATAAGTCTCCCTCTCCTTTTCCCGAGTCTGCTGGGATTCTCTGATGCATCCGATGTGTCAGAAATAATTAGGTTTTGTCAGATTTATCATCGTTGCACAAACCCTGCTCCCCGACTACGGCCCCCGATTATGTTATGCCTTGTTTGTGTGTGACAGCATTATTATTCTTGTTAGCGGCCCAACACTTTCCTTTTTTCCCCTCCTTTTTCCTTCCCACTCCTCCGTTGTTCCCAAGCTGTCCTGTGAGCTTCCTGCCCAGCGCTTATTGACAGTGGCTAAAGATATTCATCCATTTAGAGTTGAAAACATGTATCATGGTGTCCGAGCGAACTGCTGGGGCTGAAGTTGATTAATGGCAGAACGTAGCTGCCGGTTTTTCCTCTTGAGGAGCGACACGCACAGCCTCTGCATATTAACGAGTGGCTGTGCTTTCTATTAACTAGATAAAAAAGCCTCTCCTCTACCTTTGCTCCAGGGGGCTCAGGGATGAGAAATTCTCCATTATTTATCATGTGGCCTGTTTTTTACACCCCCTCAATACTTTTTCCCCCTTTTTCATGTATTTCAACCTGGTGTCATCAGTAAACTTTTAAATGCCAAACATGTCTGGAACATCGCGGCTTATCTGCAGCGTTTGTCATGCAATTTTCATGTGCTTACTTACAGTAGACGTGAGGCATCATGTCCAATTAGCGTCTCTCAAACAACATGCTTATGTTATGTACAAGAGAGAATACATGTCATGCTTATGCAGATTTAGAAAAAAAAAGGGAAAAAATGTAGTTATGCTTTAGATTTATACTATTTTGTACCATCGGATGTTTTTCAGCCTTTAAACAGAAAAATTGAGTGTTTTTTTCTCCTACATGTCTCTCTTTAAGGCCACCCATTCACGTGAAGGAGGAGCCTCTCAATATGGATGATGACGACTGTCCGATGTCACTCGTGACGACAGCTAATCACAGTCCGGAGCTGGACGACGACCGGGAGCTGGAGGAAGGGAACCTATCAGAAGACCTGGAGTGACGAGGAGGCCAATTTTCTTACGTTGATGTTTCCCTTCTCCCACACAAACCTGCAAAACTAAAAACAAAAACCACTCCACAGTCCAAAAACACCACAGCTCTTTATCTTTCACCACTGGGACTATTTATTGAGCATGTATCCGATCCAGAGGAACTCTTTGTTGCAGACCTTTGGGTCTCCCAAACGTGACAGACATGAGATGTCTGTTGTACAGGAAAATAAAAGAAACACTAACAAACTCTCTGAGACCTGTTCTATCTGGGGTGGCATGGCCACATACGGGACAGCGAACTCGTGGACGGGGAGGAAACGCAAGACAAATAAGTGAATCATGTTCTGTTGAAAGCTAGCGGCCTCATATACTGCCAAAAAAGAAGACATTTTATGTTTGTGAATAATCTTACCCACAGTAGTCGTTATTGTCTAGAGACAATTGCTGGTTCAATTCAAGTTGTTGCTCTGTTATCATTTGCACAGGAGTAGTCTCAGAAACTTGTGTCACTGCCTGTATGTTGCTATTATTATTATTATTATTATTATTATTAAAACCAGTGTATCATTTATAGCTTTTATTATTTGAAACCATTGTCCATTTCCAATTTAAATTTTTTAAGACGACTGTAAATGCCATTCCCCGAAACACAACCAGTACTAAGACTGTTGCAACTGTCCAGAAAAAAAAGTTGGCTTCCAGTTTTGTCCGTGATTAAAAAAAAAAAAGGAAACCAACTGGAAACAAAGAAAGTTTGTTGAAAAAGCCTAATTTTACGAAACAAATGCATTTCTGCTAATTTTCTTCTTGCTCTTCTTACCTCGGCGTTCTTAAAGCTTTGTCTACCTGGCAACAGTCACAGGCAACAGCTAGAAACCAAAGCCAACGTTAGCAATGGCCAATAGCTTACAAACAGAAGCCGCCAAACTCTTCTTGTTCCGCCTTCTGTGACTTTAAACTAGAGAAGCTTTCGCTCCGCAAACTACCTTGGGTTAACCTCTGGGATTGTTTACCTTAGACCTATACAAATATTAGAACCACAGAGCAGAAACAAATGCTGATGTTCTTTTGTTTCCTTTAAATGTCCATTTTGGTGATCTTCTGCCAGGCGTTCTGCAGGTAAAAGTGATGTGATATTTCAGCTGCAAAGCATTTCTTTTCTTTTTTTTATGCTGGTAGAGAGCAGCCAACTGTAAAGGTGGAAAATGACCAAAATCTTCAGCGGAAGTGCAGAAACATTGTGTTGTTGTGAAATTTTGTTTTGTTTTTTCCATTTTTTTTTTTGGTCACGCCATGCATGTCGGACGTTTTCTACCTTGATTGTTTGGCAGATATTTTTGAAGCTGGTGAACATGTTGTTGTTTTAATCGGGACTGTCACGTCTTTTACTTCCGTGGAGGTTTTTCTTCTGAGCCGCATCGAAACTGAAAAACAATGCTAACCAAACATGAAAAATATCTAGTGAAGCCAAATAATTTCAAGCTAATATGAAACGATGTGGCTTGGTCACCGCGCAGAAGCAAACAGGAATAGCCATTGCAGAAGAGGATATCAAAGGTAACCTTTTCTAGGTGATATTTGCTTTAATTTAAATACTCATAATGTGTGTGTGCGTGCGTGTGTGTGTGTGTGTGTTTGGGGGGATGTCATGCTTTCTGAACTAAACATGGTCTGTATAGGAAGCCAGCTTTTTATAAAACACACACTGTATTCACCGATTTTAGTGGAAACTGCGTCCCATGGTTTTTCCTCTCAGCCTATGTCATCTAGAGAAGTGTTGTTGCTTTAATGGTCGTTTGTTTTCAGTAAACCAAAGTTACACAAACTTCTGCCTCCTCTTGTATGGGATAAAGAAAAACAACAACTACACACGCACACACTGAGAAAGACCCTGACTTTCAACCGTCTGCAGAAAAAACATCAGAGAACCATCCGCTTGACCTGACCAAAATGGAGACACACTGTGCTTATTGTTGCTTTCTAGTGTAAGGCAAACAGCCCAGGAACTGTTGAGAAAAGGGCCCAGAACAATTATTATTATTATTATTATTATTATTATTATCCCATCAATACAGAGCTGGAGTCAGCAAAAACGACTTGAATATGTGTTTTAAATAATCCTACCACACCAAATAGCAACAACGTGTCATGGAAAAAAAGGGTTCTCCCACTTACCCAAAAAGGCTTTCTAAAAGCTTCTACCTCTGCACAACAAACAAATTCAGAGCAATTAAACCTGATTGCACGAAAACACCACAAGAGCTGTTACACTTTACTAGTGGCTCGTTTACATTCCCGGCGTCAAGAAACACGGAGGATGTGCATCGTAACAGGTTGTCCGCAAACATTTGTAGAATGATGATGTATAGATTACCTGTAAGGGAGTATTGTGTTTTAAAATGCATGTCTAAAAAGAATTATTTGGTGGACTGGAAAAAAAAAACAATAATAAAAAGAATATCATGAAGTGCATCAGGACGATGGCCTAAATGTACAACACGTGCATTACCTCAGAGGGATAAAACCTGTCAGCCACAGAATGCATATTACCTGTAGATTTGCATGGGTTTTGTATAAATTAAATAAAAGAAAAAAAAGTCTAAAATAGTTGCTTGCACATAATACCAGAAAGACCTCCAGAACTGCGATCTTGCTCCTCCACTAGAATTTAGGATTGTCTGGATTTTCTGGGTTGATTTTGTCTGTATTTTGATAACTGTGCATACTTATGTAAAAAGGACCCAAAAAAACAGAAAAAGAAGAAAAAAAATACATGTTGGTGGACCCATAAATTTACCAGGCTTTTTTCTAAGAGGAAAAAAAATCTGTGTTTCTTTTCCGACTTACCTGAATTTTTACTGTTTCATTGCTCGCTAAGAATAGCAAACCTGCTTTTTTCTGCATCTGCTTTGCGTAGCTGTAAGGCTTAACCTAATGTGTGTATTTATTGCTTGTACCTCTGTGCATACTTTATGAAGCATTATGTCTGGCAGTTGAGTCATGTATCCTTTCTACTGCTATCCTTCTCTAAGAATTGAGAATATGATCCCCCTATGTATACAGTAAATTGGGACCGTAGCAAACATATGTTTATGTAATTGGTGATTTTTTTTATTTTTATTTCCTTTTAATCGAGATTCAACAACCTTTTTTTATACTTCTCATTACTGTGTACTGTGTCCATATGTTAAAGGTTCTCCGACATTAGAAGGTCATGGTTGAGAATTGTAACAGACATTATTTTCTGTATTCATGGCATTTCACTGCTGAATAAAATAAAGGACCAAAACTTGGAATTTGAAAAAGCAGCTGTCTACCTCCGGCATCAGAGAGTAAATATTTTCCCTCTGCCATCTATCTTTTATTCTACAAAGGCACAGCCATGAAAATCTAGCTGGCATTACACTTTAAAGGTTTCAGGAGCTGCTGCTGCTTCGGAGATGTGAAGGAGAGAAAAGCAGAACAATTAAAGTTTAATGTATATGTTACAGGCTTTTCTCTTTTTTTTTTTTTTGAGTCTTGTTTAGAGGAGTGGGACAAGGCGATGTGTTGCCCACCCCTCTGGACCTGTAATGGGTTTAGCCTGTGTATGATTCCAGCGCGCTGCTTTCATGAGTCCCAGCATACACCCAAATGCTGCTGTGGACTCTTTGAATGGCTTCAGCTCTGCTTCCTTTTTGGACAGCGTGCTGCTTAAGTGGTTTTGGTGCAAGCCGTGTTATTAAGTCCATTGGCACATTAAAATAAAAGAATCTAACCATCAAGGTTCCGCATCGTGTAGAGGAAACAAAGACGTGAAATTGCATCAGGCACTTTTCATTTTCAACCCGTTTTCAGAACAGCGGTTTCTCCTTTGAAAGAAAAGAAAAACAGAAACAAGCTTTTCATCCTCACCGTTGATGGATGTTGACTGGCTGACAGGTGGTGTGGCTAAATCAACTCCAACAGACCTACTACACCTTGTCGGTCATGGAGCAACCACACACAACTGACACACTCATTGAGATTCAAACCGAACCTACGACCATGACCAATGGCTTGCCCATTAGCTCGCCTGTATGCTTAGATCCTCCGACATGTTCCAAAGGCTGCTCCGAGGGAAGCCTCTGAATCCCATCCACTGGTCATTTAATCGTAACACTGATGCATGTTCTTGTGCTGTATGATGTCCCATGAGAAAGTCGGGAAAACAACAGCAGTTTTCATAAAGGCTCGTCTCCCCCGCACCCCTACCAATGACAGTCCCAGACACCAGCCATGGCAGGCCCCTGTTATCTCCTCAGCAATGGCGTTCCACAGCATTAGCTAGCTCGCAAGGCACTTGTCTTCCGTACTATTTATGCACTTGGAAGTGTTTGTGAATTCAAGTGAGGGATTGCATACAGAGCGCAACAAGGCCCGCTGTGTACTACACAACATCAGAGGGAGCTCCAACATTAAAGTGGGAGAGCTCCTACTATAGACCCCTCTTTCAAAGGCCATGAAATAATAATGGGTTGTGGTTAGAGAGGTATCCGTGAGTCACACTGGCTGCTTTTCATAAAGTGGAGTTATTTACAGTGCAATGAATAAAAGAAAGGGAAGCTGGTGGTGCAAGCCTTTTCCACATGAATGGTGGGGAAGAAAAAGTCCCCCCCCCCCCCCCCCCCCCCCATGTAGAGTGGCAGTGCAGTATACAGCGAGACATGCTGGCAGTGCCTCTGAACAAGGATTCGTTTCTAAAGGATAAATAAACAAGTAAATGTTTTGGAAGATTTATAGAAGTGTTTTACTCTCCTATTGTGTGCTGGAGGAAAAGAGTGAAAGTCATTTTATGTTGAAGCTTGACTAGACGTGGATTTGCTTTTCAAGTAGAATGGCTGCAAAGTGAGAAAGGCCGGTTTTCATTTTCATACCTTTGGCTAAATGAGTTCAAACCAGGGTTTGAACTACGGGGGAGCTAGGGGGAGCCCGGTGATTGGATGGACGACTCCCCCCACCCCCGCTCTTAAGGCACGGGGCTAGCCCAAAAGCCCTGGTTCACGCCAATGACTGTGGAAGGCTAAATTGAATTGTGGAAAGTTACAGAAAAGTGGTAAAAGTCTGTAAATAAGACAAAAGATGCTTAAAGGCCAAGTTATTTTACTAGCTGTTTTTAAATAAGTGTTTAGAGTTTAACATGCAGGCTAAATGTGAAATTAGTCTTCTGCCCCTATTTCTTGCATTAGCTTCTGACAGAAAATAGTTGGGGAAACACTCAGATTAGAAAAGTCAGACAGATCTACATCATGCTGAAAATTTGCGTTCAGGGACTCGTCCATCTTGGCTCGTGATGAGGAAGGCTGTTGTTGGTTTAGCGTCCAGGAGAGAGCAGAGCACATCTCAGCCTAGTAGAAGCTAACCATTAGCATTAGCAACTCCTTCAGGCTTGTGTTACTTCTGGAGATAAAACATCAACTTTGCAAAGCAAACTAAGTCCATGGTAGAGCCGCGTTGCTCTTGGCCAGTCAGAGGTGAGATGTCCAAAAATCAGGAAAAATGACTCCAAATCCTGTCGTCTTCTGCTCTGGCTTACATGCTGAAGCAGGAACGTCAGAGCTTCTTCCTGTTAGCAGAAGCTAACAACTGGCAGCAGTTTTGCTTGTCAATATATTTAAGACGAACCATAAGCTTTCAATAAATCTCTCTGGTCTCACTGTTTCACCATCAACTCCCAAGACAGGTTTAATTAGTTCAGAGTTCTTATATAGACAAACATTGTACAGGTGAGTCTCATCCTGACAATCACTTCTGTGCATCTGATTGGCGGCTGTTGTACAGAACACAACAGGAAATGCCTTCAAAATAAAAGTCTGACAAGTTGAGCGCATGAAACATGACTCATGGCTCAACACTTCCAAAAGAGATCGACTCACAAGGCATTCACTTATACTAGAGACCATTGCAAAAGGCCTGGATGGAAAAAAGAGTGAGCTTGGTTTTTAAACTGGTGTCAGTTTGAAATCTGTTTCACTGTACTTGCAATTTTAGTTTAATCTATGGCAAAACTTTACCTTTCATGGCCTTTATACAAACATACTAAGATTATATTGAACTTTTTACCACATGGATATTGAAAAAAATTGTCATAAACCACAAACTGCTGACAAAAAAACACATTTGGTGTTTGATTTGCTCCAAATAGCCACAGCGGGAAAATGTCATAAAATGCATCAGGATTTATATCATTATTGCAATTTTCAACACTATTGCACTTAGATATTTTCTTATTATTGTGGAGCCGTAGAATAAATGTATATTAAAACAATGTTTTAATTCATCATTGTTATTTAGTTGTTTTTTCCCTGTCTTACTTGGTATTAGAGAAATAATTAATACATTTCCTACTGTGAATTATTTTAAGTGGACATGAAAGTTGCCTTACAGCCACATGGGCTTGTCCACTCTTTGTGGAAAAACAGAAATTCTGCACAATTCAAAGCGTCAGCTGGGACTTTGTATGGGTTTAGAGCAGGGGTGTCAAACTCATTTTAGCTCAGGGGCCACATTGAGGGAAATCTAGTCTCAAGTGGGCCGGACCGGTAAATTAAAAACAGCTTCAGATTGTTTTCTTTGTTTTAATACAATCAATAAAAAACAAGGCTGGAGCCTGAGGACAGTGTATCCAAAGTAGTACAAGTACAACACCTGAAGTGTACTTGAAAATTTGAAAAAAAAAAAAAAAATCAATAAATAAAAAAACATTCCTTAGTGATCCAAAGAACTTTCAGATCACATGGCTAGATCAGTTTCATGCAGCACTTAAAGTATATTTGATTCATTTTACTTAACATCTTTTAGCTTTCACCAGCACATCAACATCAGAAGTCACATCCTGAGTGGCGGCCAAATTCAGGATGGGATTCAAGTTCTTGTGTGAGCCTTGAGCGCAGCTTTGTTTTATTTATACTCATTACAGAGAAAACTTGCTCACAAAGATAAGTTTGTTTTCACTCTACATTGTAAAGTATGAAAATAAAGTTTACACAACCATCTCGCGGGCCGGATTTAACCCGCTTACGGGCCGGATCTGGCCCGCGGGCCGTACATTTGACACCCCTGGTTTAGAGTGAATGCTTTGGATTTAACCAAAAGTGCCAGAAGGGATGATGTGTGTGCATACTAGCTGAAGAAATGTATGTGAGTGTGTTTTTAAGAAAGCCGAGCACTGGTGAGGCACATATCTCAACGCATTCCAGCACAATAGCCCTTAGCCCACCTCCTGAACATCTAAGTTGAACTCTGAGCATCATTCGTTTCATCTCCAACACCGACCAATTAGGTCAATTTATGAGCCGTGGCCTTGTGGGACCGAGTGGTAAATATCTCTAGTTTCAGCTTATTGATTAAGAGCAGACTCTGTCTCGGTCACTACTGACCTGACCATGCGTGTCGGCTGCCTGGAAGACTCTCTTGCCCCCAGGCTGCAAAATTGCCTGCTAAATAGTCCGAGACGATGGCAGCGCTAATTGAGATCATCATTATTATAATTGTGAGTCTTGAAAAGAGCGTCTTAAATAATTTGCATTGCTCTCAAGTTGATATTGGATGCAGAGGAAAAATAATTGCATGGCTCAGAGGCATGACCATTGGATGAGGATTGGGTCGGACTCTTATTTGGGTCCCAAAAGGGCACTTCATGCCGGACCGGTCTGTTCCAGCACCCGTGGATGTGGGAACGTCAGTTGTCAAAGATGTCAGAATACAAATCCTACAAAATCAAACTATTCCAGCCCAAAGTGAACTCTACCATCCCTCTTAAATCAGCTGGTGGATAATGTCCATAGAGCTGCTGGGACACACACATCACAAGAACCTTGGTGTACAGAGTGGTGCAGATGTGCTGCGCATGCGTCATTGTGATGTATGCAAGAAAGAAAAGTCTATTTCTCCAACTGAAACAAGGGATTAACCCAACAAAATGGTGAGAAACTGCTGATATTCATGAATTTTTGCCTGTGGCATTATCTGACACACACACACACACACACACACACACACACACACACACACACACACACACACACACACACACACACACGCACATCATCAGGTCCCCCTCCTCCTGTCTCCCATACACAATCATCCAAAGGCACAAAGGAGGCTGAAAAAATCTCTAATGAGCATGATATGGTAACATGAAATTACCTTTTATTTGTTTGTTTTCTGCTCTAATAACAACAACAATATGGCTTCCAGGCTTCCAGATTATTTAAATCCTCTTAAAACCCTTTCCTCTGCTTTTTCCCTCCTTTTCTGACATTAAACCAAATTTTGT